CCATCTTGCTGGCCCTTTGTTATTATAGAGCAGTAGTTGGGCCCAGAGTTTTTGACTGTCCACAGACCTAGGTGGAGCCTGTGTTTTCAGCAAATTATACATCATGTTCTGATTCTCAAAATATTAAACAAAACAATCAAAACAAAACAAAAAACATTTACCAAGAGACCTTTCTTCTGAGGCCTTTCCAAGTCTCTCTACCCATGTTTCTGGTTGGGACCCACATGGTAGACCCTGTTTCTGTTCATGCACCAGCCCTCCTGGGACCAGGCCACATTGGCTACACTGTGCAGACATGGAGCACATTACTCATGGCTGGAGGTGGCCTAAGCAAAAAGCAGGAAAGGATGGGGGTGATGACGTCCCCCAAACATAACCCTGCTCCTGCAATGACCCAGGTTGCTGTGGGGAGTGCCCCACGTCCGTGCTTGGGTTGGCTTGGCTCCCATCTTGGCTGGGGCCCTCACCCTCCACTGCCATTACACAAAGCCCCCTTTCACCAGCAGGGCTTCTGTAGCTCTGAGGCTGTTCAGGAGGTTTGGTTAACCCCCTTAAGAAAACAAACAGCTCCTGGGTTGCAGCCAGCGGGCGCCACTGGGCACAGAGTCTGGATTCTTCTCTGGGGGCCCTATAGGCATGCTGAGCAAGGGTCTAGCCTGCTCGAGCAGAGCCCCACTCCGGCCATCCATCTGTGGTGTAACTTTGACCCCTCAGCTCAAATCCTTATCTGCAGGAGATACATGTGGGTTAAATGACTTCCTGTTTCTTAAGTGTTTAGTATGGATCCTGGCACAGTGATGTTAGCTTTTTTCTTTGGTCTTTTTTTTTTTTTTGAGACAGGGTCTCCCTGAAGTCCAAGGTGGAACTCACTATGTAGCCCAAGCTGGCCTAGAACTCACAGAGATCCATCTGCCTCTGTCTCCCTAGTGCTGGGACTAAAGGCATGGCCTGGCTCTTAGCTATTTTTAAAATTTATACAAAATTATGGGGGCTGGAGAGATGGCTCAGTGGTTAAGAGTACTGACTGACTGCTCTTGCAGAGAACCTGGGTTCCATTCCCTGCACCCACATGACAGCTAACAACCATCTGTAACTCCAGTTCCAGGGGGATCTGGTGACCTTCTTCTGACCTCTGTGGGCACTGCAGGACACAGGTACACTTACATTCAGGCAATACACTCATACACATAAAAAACAAAACAAAATAAATATAAAAACATTATACAAAATTACCACTTTTGTACTCCAGAGACCAGTGGGATATTGGCAACTACATAGGGTTTATCTTAATATATTATTACTGATCATTGACAAAATGAATAAATTCTATTTCTTTCAGTATACTGAGATTCAAAGGTTTGAAAAACAACCATTTCAACTATTAACTTTCTGATCAGAATTTTCCCATATTGCATAGGCAAAGATATTGGAAACAAAGGCTGGTATAACTCAGCAACTGTTTTGTTCATCATCAGAGTCCCTACTGATTGCCTTTCGAAATATATTATATATATCTGAGACAGGGTTTCGTGCAGCCCAGGCTGGTCTCCAATTTGATAAGTAGCCAAGGATGACCTTGAACATCTGACTCCTGCCTCAACTTCTCTGGGAGATGCTGGGATTACAGGTGTGTGCTGCCATGCCTAGTTTTAGGTGTTGCTAGGGATCAAAGCTAGGGCTTTGAGCATGCTAGGCAAGCACTCTATCAACTGAGCTACAGTCCCAGCTCAGCTTTTTAAACGTTTTATGTGTGTGTGCGTGTGCATGTGCGTGTGTGTGTGTGTGTGTGTGTGTATGCGCGCATATGTACAACTCTAGTTGTACTCCTGCCTCGGTCTCTTGAGTGCTAGGATTATAGTCATATGCCAAACACTATCTACATTTTCTAAATTTAAAATAATAAAAAATTTGGGGCTGGAGAGGTGGCTCAGCAATTAAGAGCTCTTGCAGAGGACCAGGGTTTGATTCCCAGCACCCACATGGTGGCTACAAATTGTCCTTAACTCCAGTTCCTGGGGAATCTGATACCCTCTTCCGACCTCAGGAGCATTGCACGACATGGGTGCACTCACATACATGCAGGCAACACACTCATACACATAAAATAAAAATAATAAATAAAAAAATTAAAATAAATTTAAAAGTATTTTTATATGTGAACTTTAAAGTAAGCTGCCTAATAAAAAAAAAAGTTCTGCTAAGCTATTTTAAATTACAGAGTTAGTTTAAATTCTCCATTTCTATAAACTGAGAACAAGGCTTGAGGAAGGAAGTGGGTTTTAGAAAGGGCTGTGTTAGGAGGGCACCTTTGTTGAACATGTTCTGTGTAACCCCTTAGAATAAACCCTGGGGTTTTAGCCAGGAATGACACTCCCAGGAGCCACTTATTACTTGATAGAGGGGACTCAGAAGCTTGAGACAGAATCTAGGGAGTGCTCACAACACCTACCATGGTCGAGATTTTTCTCAAAAAAAACCAAAACAAAACCCAAAAACCCACATACACAAACAACACTCCCTCCCACCCTCACACCAATTTCAGTCAAACAATTAGGCTCTTGGGTGTACACAACACTGGTATTCAAGAAACAAAGAAACAGGGCTTTTCATGAAGAGAGCTATTGGACCAAGAACTGTGGACAACAGGCAGAAGCCAGGAGGGGCTAGGGCTGCTGCAGTCTCCAAACCTGGAATGAAGGTGCTCTTACATCACACTCTAGCATTCCACAGGGTGTTCTGTGGCTTCTCAGGAAGTGGATGGAGTTGTTTTACAGTTCTGGGGATCAAACTCAGGGCTCTGCATATGCCAGCCAAGTATTCTGCCACCAAACTACTTCCCCAGCCCCACCCATCTCTCTTTTGATACAGGGTCTTGCTATGTTGCTCAAGTTGACCCCTAACTCTTGGGCTCAAATGGTCCTCCTGTCTCAGACTCCCATGCAGCTAGGAGTACAGAGAGCTGACATCACATAAGGCTCAACATGATTTTGGTGCCTGCAGTTAGTGGCCCCAGTTACTCCCAAAGCTGCTGTCTTCTAGTGGCTGCTCCTAATATTCAGCTGGACATTGTGAAAGCTTCACAAAGGGCTCAAATATTACAATGCCAGGTTGGTACTAAAATGAGAATTTATTCAGGTCTTTAAGAAAACAACTTAGGGACTGGAGAGATGGCCCACTGGTTGCTCTGGCACAAGACCCAGGTTAGGTTCCCATCACCCACATGGTGGCTAACAATGATCTGTAACTCTAGGTCCAAGGGATCTGACTCCCTCTTCTGGCCTCTGCTGGCATTGCATGATAGCTGTACTCATATACATAAAATAAAACACTCATATACATAAAATAAAAATAAAGCAAAACAAAACAAAGCAAAATAACTTAGGACTGGGCATGTGGCAAATGCCTTTAATTCCAGAATTCAGGAGGCAGAGGCAGACGGATCTCTGTGAATTCAAGGCCAGCCAGGGTTACATAATAAGACCCTGACTCAAAAAACAACAAAACAAAACAAAAAAGAAAAAATAAATTAGCCAGGTGTGGTTATCTGAGCACTTGGGAGACTGAGGCAGGAGGATCAGGAATTCAAGGTCAGCCTTTGCTATGTAATAAATTAGGGACCAATCTGGGCTTTCTGAGAGCCAGTGTCAACAAACAAGCACTGGGCCTGGTGGCATATGCCTTTAATCCCAGCACTGGGGAGGCAGAGGCAGGCAGATCTCTCTGAGATCAAGGCCAGCCTGATCTACAGGTGAGTTCCAGGCCAATTGGGACTATAGGGAGACCCTGTCTCAAAAACAAAACAATAGGTCAGTGTATAAATTCACCTTGTCTGTCTCTGTTTACATTGTGTGGGACATAACAGTGAAGACAAGCTGAGTTGGGCAATTTGGGTTCAAGCCTTAATTCCAGGATATGATCTTAGACAAACTCCTGGCAGGGAAATTTTTTTTTGTTTTGTTTTTTTTTTTTTGGTCTTTTTGAGGCAGGGTCTCCCTGTAGCCCCAGCTGACCTGGAACTCTCCATGGAGACCAGGCTGGCCTTGAACTAAGAGATCCACCTGTCCCTGCCTTCTGGGATTAAAGTGCTGGGATTAAAGGCGAGTACCAGTACCACCACACCTGGCTGGAGATGTCTTAAAGCCTGAGCACAGTGCCTAACATATTAGAGTGCTTACAGATGACAGTTCTTACTGTAGTTAATAACTAGGCTCCAAATTGGAAAGGGTTGTCAGGGCAGTATAAACTCTGCCCCATGCTCCTGGCTGCCTAGGTCATTTTTTTTTTTTTTTCTGGTGAAGCTACTGATTTTCCCCTGAAGAGACCTGTGGTCCTGTGCTCCTCACTCATAATGGAAGGGGAAGTTGAGGGCTTTGAAGTTCAGGGGGGATAGTCATTAGGAAACAGCTATCACATCTCTTTAAGGGAAGGTCCTGTCTCAGACCATACAGGGTTTTTCCTGTGGTTTTTTTTTTTTTTTTTTTTTTTTTTTTTTTTTCTAGACCCAAAAATGTATCCTACAGATGAGCTGCTGGCTGCCTCAGTTGTCTTGGATGGGTGGGGCTTTCTGTCCAAGAGATGTAGCCACAGGAGCATTTCCACAACACACGGGGATCACAGGCAACCATCATGAGGCAGCCTGTGTGCTCCAGCTAAGGCACCAAACTTCAGTTATCAACAATGGTGAGGCCCGTTGAACCCTAAATTAGGCCAGATTTCTGGGTCTCCTGAAAAGTTCCAAACTCTGGCCTTGGTGATAATCTGGAGCTGAGGAGCAGTTGTTGTCCCCAGGGGCTGCTTTGGGGGGTGCAGGAGGGCGCCAAGATGAGTAGAGACAATGTAGTCCTGGTCTGCAGTTGCTCAGGAGGCCATTTCAGGGCTAACAGGGCACAGAGGAGAAGGGAAAGAGGACAAATACACACCTAGCAGTGTGAGAGGGCGGGCTCCCATTCCCATCAGAATGCGTCCCAGGAAATTTACATATGCCACAGGCCTCAAAGGATGCACTGGATTGTTCTCCCATAGTGAAAATAGATTTATTTGATAAATATACAGACATTTTAAGCAATATGATACAAAAAATAAAGTCACACAAAATCCCATCTCTAGAGGCAACTGTACTTAATTCAACATCTTTTCCAGTTTTATTAAATGTAGATCATATCATACATGCAATGCGATAGCCTGCTTTTTTCACTCAAAAATATTTTCCTTATCAATGACTATAGTTAGCTATCACTTTTAATATCTACATAATATCCAATCGCAAGACTGTACCATAATTCACTTAATCCCTTCCTGATGGGCATCTTTGGATAATCTTCATGGACCTTGTTGCTAGAAGTGTCTGTGAGGCTCTTCAGGGAATGTTCTCTCACTGACAAATGTTCTTGCTCTCCTTACACAGTACTGAAAAATGCCCCTTTCAGAACGGTACAGTTCCAAGAATGAAGAATGGGGGCTGAGAAAGAACACCGCAGGTACAAAGCGCAGTGCAGACAGGAATGAGAAAGGAAAGGGTGCATATGGAGTGTTAACACTGCTGTGAAGGACCGGGAGATAAAGAGCAAGGTTAGCTAGGGTCCTTGAGGTAGGCTATGTCAGGTGGCAGAGCCTGCAACTCTACAATCATTCTACAGGTACTGATTTGGCCCTTGTTTTGGGCCTGAACCTCTGCCAGGGACATGGACTTATAAAGGCACACAACCTCGGGGTTTAGTTTAGTGGAGAGTGCCAACATAAAGTCATATAACTGGTATCAGAGGACACTGAGGGTGGCATGTGTCTATCCTCAAGGATCAGGGGATGGGTCAACTTGTTCTCACCCATATCTCTTAGCTCAGACTTGACCTGCCAAAACATGGGGTGGAGAGCCTTAGCCAGTGAGTCCAGAGACAAAAGTGTATGGTTCATACATGCCAACTGCAGCAAAGATGTGTCTCTGTTACATGGGGTCACAGTTATCTTCTTCCCTCTACTTTCTTTGAACCACCAAGCACTGGGAAGGAAAATCTCATCACCTTGGGGCTAGAAGTCCACAAGCTTCAGCCTCCTGTGTGCTTTGAGCTTTCTTAGCAAAGAACATTCCCTCCATCACTGTACTCTGCTCCAGCAGATCCTGGCCCATCCGGAGAACATTTCCATCAGTACCTCCTTTCTAAAATGTGAATTTCTGAAAGGCATTCTTTGTTTTCTTCAGGGTCCCCAGCTACAGAATGAAATTTGTCCAGTTACTAGATTTCATGTGTGACAGACACTGCAGCCTGCAGCCTACCTTATCCCTCTGACTGTCACCAAACACTACTGAATATCAGGATCTCTCATTTCAGATGTTGCACAGAGATCTGGGGGGAAATAACCCAAAGGCCACGCAGGGAAAGTGTAGACTTATCTCCATACCTATTATTTAAACCCCTTGTCTCAAACTGGTAAAAAGAAAGTCCTGACCTGAGGGAAGTACAATTCCTTCCTCTTGTGGATTTCTTTCCTAGAGTCTCCACAGTAAAGCCCCCCAGCTCCAGCCCTCAGCACAGGTATGGTCCCATCCAATACTCTGGGGTTTCATTTTTCTCCCCAACACAACCGATAGCTCTTCTCTTTCTCACCTGTGAATTTTTCTAACATGCTTAAGTTTGTGCCACCCTTAAAAACAAACCCTCCTTTTATTCTGTATCTCCCTCAACTCTAACCACTGGTCTCTATTCTATCTAGGGGTTCTCACTGTTCCACTGCTCCCCCTCCTATCTGCTCTAAACCCATTTGCCTCCTGTGCAATCTGTGCTGTTCAGTCTCCTCTGACATTCAAGAAAAAAACCCAAGGTCCCTCGAGCTTCCTCCCTCTGCCCTGGGTCTGTCATTAGGTCCATGGTCAGATCCTTGTGGTTCCATCTCTACCTCTCAAACTTCTCACCAAGTGCTGATTCCATCATTACTGCCCTCCAGGTGGCTATGAGGAGCTTGGAAACTCATTGGAGTCTCACCTCACCCGTTCTGACATACCTACACCACAGTGCCTGCAGCATTTCACTCTGGTAGCTCTACACACTGCAGGGCGATGTCCAAAGGGCTTCAGTCCTCTCAGGCACTGGGGTCTACCTCACTCACCTGACCTGGACCTCCAAAGTTATTAGTATATCATGCATATGCCCACCCTCACTGCCAGACAGACAAGAGCACTTCTTCAATTTTTTTTTTTTTTTTGGTCTCTTTGAGACAGGGTCTCCCTGTAGCCCCAGCTGTCCTGGAACTCACTATGTAGACCAGGCTGTCCTGGAACTCGCAGAGATCCGCCTGCCTCTGCCTGCCTCGTGCTGGGATTAAAGGCGTGCGTCACCACGTCCAGCCATTTCTTCACTTTTAAGACATAGTTCAAGCATCACATTCTCCATACATTTCTCCCTACTGAGTCCCTGATGGAAAAACATACCTTCATGCCCTATTATGCCCTGCAGAGGCTTCTGGCTCAGATCTCCCTTTTCTGCTATTGGCTGTTTTGATTTCCATGTCTGCAAGCTCTGCCTAGCAATGCGCAGGCCCTGAACTGGTCCTGTTAACCTTGTGACATGGAAGGCTAAGGTAAGGGGAAAGCTATGAAGCCAGAGGAACATGCCACATAAGCTGCTGCCACTAAGCCACATAACCAGCTCCTTGACTTTAATCCCTACTTACAGCATATATCTTTATCTTGTATGTGTATGAGTCCTGTTTTTTTTTTTGAGATAGGGTCGCCTATAGCTCCAGCTAACCTAGAATTCACTGTGTAGACCAGGTTGGCCTTAATTTCACAGAGACCTGCCTCCTTAGTGCTCCATGTGCCACCACACCTGGCTTGTACGTGTTTTGCCTGCATGTACCTAAGTGTGTCCATGCATGCAATGTCCACAGAGTCAAGAAAAGGGTGTCAGGTCCCTTGGAACTGGAATTATGGACAGTTGTTAGCTGCCATACAGGTGCTGGGAACGGAACCTTGATCCTCTGTAAGAGCAGCCAGTGCTCTTAACTGCTGAACCATCTCTCTAGCCCCCTCTCTTGGTATTTATTAAAATTTTAAAATTATCTGTGTGTGCGCGTGCGCATGCGCCATGTGGAGGTCATGCGTGGCATGTGGAGGTCAGAGGACAGACAACTTGCATGAGTCAGCTCTCTCCTTTAACCATATGAGTCCCAGGGATCGAACCTGAGTTTTTGGGTGTGGCAGCAATCACCATTACCTGCTGAGTCATCTTGCCAGCCCCTTTCGGTATGTCAGTATGTTTAGTATCTATCTATTTATCTGCTGTCTGAGGAGCATATAGAAACAATGCTACTCCAAGTAGCAACGAGCATACTTAGCACTCAGATCTTGGTTCCTAATACCATTCTACACTGAAAGAAATCAAGACTCCTTAGAGAAATAAATGGCCTACAATCCTAGGGCTGGGCCAGCAAAGACAGGAGACAAGCCTGGAACACCCTGTTATGTATGCTAGAGGTAAGACAGCATTCAAACCAGTTAAAAAGGCACAAGAGCCTGTTGGGAATTGAAATATAGTCAGTGGCTTGCAACTGAATGAAACAGTTCAATTTAACCATGTGGTCAGAAAAAACATCAATAGTAATAGGACCAATGGGTATTATATGCTAAGCTCAGATGTATTCAGGACAAGTCACTTCTGGGATGTCCCTACCCATAATGCACAATACTACAATCTGGTCATGTGGAACCTCAGACAAATTCAAATTTAAGACAGTCAATAAAATCTGGTCTTCATTCTTCAAAACTGTCATGATAATGAAAGACAAAGAAAGGCTGTGGAACTCTTCTGTATTAAAGGGCATGTGTAGCAGGGTGTGGTGGTGCACATGCCTGTAGTCCCAGCCCTTGGGAGGCAGAGGCAGGCAGATCTCTGTGAGTTCAAGGTCAACCTGGTCTACATACTGAGCTCCAGGCCAGTTGGAGCTACAGAGAGACCCTGTTTCAAAAAAGACCAAAGACAAAACAAAGGCATGTGTAATCATACATGTAATCATCACAACTAATGTAATTCATGATCCTGTACAAAGAAAAAGAGAATCACTACAAGGACACCACAGACAACTGACAAATTCAAATATGGAGCATCATTGGACAATGGTATCATATCAATGTTAAACTTCTTGGGGGTTTTTTTGGTAAGATTTATTTTTGTGTGTGTCTGTATGGGTATTTGTATATGAGTATAGGTGCCCGAGTAGGCCAGAGGCATTGGATCCCCCTTGGAACTGAAGTTGCAGTCAGATGTGGGCCACCTGACATTGGTGCTGGGAACTGAACTCTGATCCCCTGCAAGAGCAGTATGTGCTCTTAACCACTGAGCTATTTCTCCAGCCTCCAACTTCTTGGTTTTGATAACTTTATTTAAATTATGAGGCTAGGATGTTCTTGTTCTTATGGAACTGCATGTTGAAATTTTGGGGTAACTGGGTAAACTGTCTGCAACTTACTCTTAAATGACTCAGAAAATACATGTAAATTCTAAGCAAGTCAGGCATGGCGGCGTATACCTGTACCCCAGCACTTGGGAGATGGAGGCAGGAAGATCAGGAATTCAAGGCCAGACTTGATTACCTAGCAAGTTTAAGGCCAGTGTGGGCTACATGAGACCCTGTCTCAAAAAACCAAAAATATTATAGATAAAACATAAAGCAAAGCCAGGTGCGGTGGTGCACATCTTTAGTGCTAGTACTTGGGAGGCAGAGGCAGGTGGATCTCTATGAGTTCAAGGCTAGCCTGGTCTACATAGTGAGTTCCAGGACAGCTGGGGTTACAGGGAGACCCCGTCCCAAAAAGATCAAAAAAAAAAAACAAAACAAAACAAAAAAAAAAACAAACACAAACACATAAAGCAGATGGGGTAAAATGTAAACACTGGTAAATTTACATAAAAGGTATATCAGTTCTTTGTGAAATTTCTGTAGCCTTTCTGTAAGTTTGAAATTATATTAACATTTTAAGTTACTTAATGTTTCCTTCCCCAACCCAACCAAGACTCCAAGCAGTAAGTGATGAATCTGAATTATGGTACAGCCTTAAAATGGTAATTGTTTTACACAACAGGTTTGTGAAGATACATAAGGATGTGGGAAGAAATGCTTATAACATATACAATGCCAAATGAAGCAAACAGGATACAACATATTTTGTGTAATTATAACTGAGTAAAAGTAAGCACATGGGAAAGACTAGGAGGATAAAATCAAAGGTGGTAAGAAGGATCTTGGGCACAGGTAGGGCAGGGATGAGTAACTTTCCATAATTAACCTGCTGATAAAGTTAGTTGCAGCACTGGCAGCTGGTGCCACAGTGAGGCCCAGAAATCAGTGCTGTTTACTGTAATCTCTTGCTTCAAGCTGCCCTGCAACCGTAGCTGTCTACCATGCAGAACTGATAGAGCAGGTCCTAAGCCTATTGGGGGCATCTCTGGAGGCGGTGGGGCTGGATGGCAGGATTCCCACAGCAGACATTGTAGCTCTGACTCATAGAGGAGCTTCCAAGTCCCCTCTAGCCAGTGCTGCTGAGGCAGCTACAGGCACAGCTGATGGGAAGCCTAGCAAGAGACTGGTCTGAGACTTGATCTTCCTTGGTGAGATCTGCAAACCAGTCGAATACTTTTGGTTGTGCTCACACATATGGGGCTCTTGGGGGCATGCTCTCTCCCAGGCACAACAGTAAAGCTTCTTTGACCTTCCAAAGGTTTAGGTGCTCTGGGATTACCCTATCTGGAGGCCAAGGGCCTGGGTTTCCTCCTAAAGGGATTAAAAAGCAGCCCGTTTCACTCCTTTATACCTTAGCAGGAACAGTCTTGAGGATGAGGTGTTTTTGTTTTGCTTCTTGTTGGGGACTGGACACAGAGCCTTCACATGCTAAGCAAGCACATGCCTAGCTGCCACTGAACCACAACCCCCAGCAAGGACATGTGGCAAAAAGAGGACTAAGAAGGTGAGACAGGCCATAGAACAAGACTCAGAGTTCTGGATGGTTAGGGAAGCAAGGCAAGAAGAGAATGTGTCTCCTTTGAAGAATAGGTTTTACCTTTCTTACTTCTAGAGATGTCTTTAAAGTTCCTTCTTTAAAAAGCAGCAACAAAAACCAGGTATGGTGGTGCATGCTTTTAATCCCAGCAGAGGCAGAGGGAGGCCAGTTTGGTCTACATGGAGACCCTGTTCTAAAGAAAAAAAATAGTAACAACAAGAATCAAGGAGAACAGGTAGCTGAGGTAGGTATAGAAAAGAAACGGTTCCATAGGAAGGCAACAGCAGAGGGAAACTTACTGCACTTGGGCAACTTCTTGGTTAGGGGTATTTTAGACCTGCTTCCTAACTGTTCCCCAGCCTAAAGTAAAAAGTGTCACCATGCTGAGTCAAGTAACCTGGTTTTCAAATATTTTATTATATAATCTTCTCATGGCACCATCAGGAGTAACAGAAAATGTTATTCCCAGTTCCTAAACCACATCCTGAAAAATATACATTTGTATTTATATATTTATATCAACACTCCACCCCTAACCCATAATTCCACCACCTATTGTAGGTCTTTTGCTTAAAGCAGGAAACTATTCTCTTAGATAAGAAAATATATGTGGAAGCTAAATGAGATATTGGTTAGAATAACAGGGAACAGTTTGGTCATGGGGGCAGGGTAGAAGGGGCTAAGTCCAGCAAAGGCAGGATGCATCAACTGGGGTACATTGAGGTGGGAAGGAGGACAGTGTATAAAAAGGCAGCGTCACGCAGGTGGGCTCTGGTATTCTTGGTCCCTTAGGAGATGGCCTTTGCCTCAGGAAGGAAGGCTTCCCAATGTTTTGCAAGCTGCAAAGAAGTGGGGAGATAGTAAGCAAGTGCCCCCACCTAGTAGCAGAGCCTGAGCTAGCCTGGGAGAGAAGCAAGTTCAATGTCATGGCATACCCCATGCACCACAGCCACCTGAGCAGATGCAGAAGCCACACTCCTTCACTTCCCTCTAGACTTGGGGGAAGCATCAGTTTGTGTCCCAAGTGCAAGGGCAGTCTCTGAAGACACTTCCAGTCCCTCCCTGCAGGGCACACCCCTGTAAATGCCATAGTCCAGTGGTTTACTCCTCACAACCAGGTCACTGTTGCACATATTGATTAGGGCTTCAGAACCAAGAGGACTAGGTGGTACCACTCAAAGTATAAGGAATTATGTTAACAGCAAGAGAAGAGATGAATTCCTCCCAGCCCCCAAAAAATGAACTGTAGAATTGTGGCAACAGTGGGAAGTGAGATGGCTCAATATGCTTGGCACAGGGCCTGACAAGGTGAGTTCGATCTCTGAGTTCAGATTCCCTGAAAGAAAGAACTGACTATTTTAAGTTGTCCTCTGACCTCCACAAGCATGTGTCATCATACACATGGGCACCACCTTTCATACAAACACAAAATAAATGTGAAAAAAGAGAAAGCAACAAAGGATAGGTCCTCTTGGTCAGCAAAAGGCACTGGCCTGTTTTCAATTATCAACTATAGCAGAGCCCCCTCCCTGCACATCTTGCCACCAAATCCCCAAATAGACAGTTGTCTTTTGGAGCAGGCACTGGAGGAGGAGGGTTATGTATACTTTACACACCTGTTGCTGTGAATGTAGGAGTGTCTCCAGGTACTTGATCACGTGGTTTTTGAAGTCCTTGGATTTCTCTTTCTATAGGAGACAGGAGTATACACTGATCTTCCAGACAATTGTTCCTTCCCCTTTTGATGGGAAGGTGGTGTTTACTACTAAGGTTAAACACGACCTCCAGAAAGTAGAGTCAACAGCTGGAATATCTGTAATTTCCAGCCAAATAGCTTCTGCTAAAGCTCTGCAAAGCTTTCTTAGAGGGTGGGAAGTGGGCCAGTAGGAGAGAAAGGACAGGGGCCCAGAGGACTATGGCAGCCATCGGCTTTGTTTTATGTCTAATTGTAAGACAGCTACCATGCTCCAGGAACTAGCATAGGAGTATGCACACATATACACAAAGGTCACACCAGTTCACAAGAACAGCAAGCCATTAGGATCTTCTGTCTCACCTCAAACCATATCACTTCTTTTCGGACCACTGTTGAAATTCTTTCAAAGTCTCTTTCATATTGAGTCACACGAGACTCCCACTGGCAAAAGGAAAGAAAAGATCACTTAAGAGATGGGAATGTAACTCAGTGGTAGAGTGCTTACCTAGTATGTGTGAGACCTTGGGTTTGAGTCAAGTACCACATATAAAAAAGGTGGGGTGCATGTGTAAATCACTTAATACACTGTTAAGCCTTTACATTTAGACAGCAATTCTACACGAGACCTCAATGGATCCTTATTTTTAATCTGTCCCTTTGGGAAGGATTAGATTCCTAAAAGGATTCAACATGTACATTATAGTCCAGCAGGCCACCTTAGGGCTGGTCAGAAAAGATTGCCATGTGCCCCAGGCCAAACCTGGACTTTGAGAAAACTCTGGTAACTATAGCAGCCTCTCATTTAGGAGCTCATAAGCAGAGACAGAAGCCCTAGAAAACTTAATTTAGATCTTCTGGGAGGCAAATTTGAATCCCCTAGAGAGCTCTTCTTGTAAGACTCATGCAAGAATCACTGCTGCTGAGACTGACAAGACTGCTGGTGGGTGGGCCTCACGGTGGCCCTGAAGTCACCCTCAGAGGCCCTTTAATTAGCTCTCTTGCCTGCTGTGGGTTTCCAAGCATCTGGTCAGGGTGGCACTGAGGTTCATTCAGAAGCCAGCAATATACCCATGCTGGCTGCCTCAGGGGGCTCACCTCTGTAATCTCATCCTTGGCTTGTTGCAGCTTATCAGGCTTGTTGGCCCACAGCAGCCGAGCCTCAGCCTCCCGTTTCTTCTGCAGCATGGCTTGAGCATCCTGCCAGCGCTGCCATGTCTTCATGCGCTGGTCGAAGGCAGCCTGTGGGGGAGGGTGGTTGGGAGGAGCACAACCAGCTCTTCAGCAGCCCTGGCTGGCTCTGCCTTAGGAGGCTCTCCTAGCAGCTGTGCCAGGGAAGGACTGAGCAAGGGCAGGGTCTGCAGCCATGTGGTAGTGCTCAGGTAGGGAGCTCAATGTCTAAAAGCACAAGCTTGGGTCAGATTCTTTTCAAGCTTCCAGTGGGCCAGCGCCATGCTGCTTCATGCTGCTCCCAGGGCTGGATGGCTAGGAGCACAGGAGGTGGCCTGATGCCCATGGCCATCACTGAGGCTTCTAAATGGCCTCCCTCAGAAAATTCAGACCAGGAGTCTACACACTTTCCCCTAAGAGTCTACCAAACTCAAGGAGATAATACAGTGGGAGTGAAGCACACAGTCCTACTCTCACAGAACTTATTTACTGGAAAAGACCATCATTATATTAGCAATTAAAGTAGGTATTTACAAGTATGCAGAGTACTAGAAAACAAGCAGATACTACACCATAAAGCAAGGGGCCTAGCCTAGCCCAGGAGTGCTAAGTCTAATGCAAGGAAGCAACCTTTTTTTTTTTAGGTCTTTTTTGAGTCTCCCTGAGGCCCCAGCTGGCCTTGATCTCTGCCTCCTGAGTGCTGAGATTAAAGGCATATGACACTACGCCTGGTGGAAGCAACCTTTTAACTGATACAAACAGCACAGTAACATAAGGACTTTTAATTTTATTTTTGCAAAGCCCAAGCAGAATCACTAAATAGCTAAGGATGACCCTGAACTCCTGATCCTCTTGCCTCTATCTCCCTAAGAGCTGGGATCACAGGCATGAGTCACCATGCTGGCAGTTTAAGGATTCTTTACCTAAACACTAAAATGGTTACTTGACATGCTGCCTTCATCTCAACCAAACACTCACCTGCTGGGCTATCAAGGCCTGCAAGAAGCTCTCCAAAGTTAATTATTGGTTTGCCTATTTTCTAGTCTTTTGAACACAATTAGCATTTTCAGAGAAGGGCAGCTGTTGACCTAACTAAATCGGTTCCACCCCACTGTCACTCTATAGGCCTCAAAAGGCAGCCCAGATAAAGCTCAGGCAGCCCAGATCAAAGCCTGGGGCTGGCCTTCTAGCCCTGTGTACTTGCTTCCCACTCCCTGCAAAGGTTTCCTAGGCTTTCTTAGCATGTACCTGTGCCAAAGCTAAACTTCAGTGAATGCAGAATACAGACCACCAGTCATGTTCTGCAGCATGCTGCAGCTTCTGTTTTTCTGAAGACAGGGTTTCACTATGTATCCCAATGAACTCACTACGTAGCCTAGCTGGCCTGGAATTGACAGTGGTGTCTTGACTGCTGGGATTACATGTGTTCATGCCTGGCTCCAAGGCAATTCTTAATACCTCAATGGGATAATCTTGCATATGGGTGACTTCATGTCTAAGAATGGCCCAAAGCTACCCCACTGGGCTAATGAGGTCCAGGTTCAGAGAAGGTAGAAAAGAAGCCTCTGCTCATTTCTCTACTCCCACTGCTAGCCCTGACATGAGGTGGGGGGAAGCATCTGAGAAATGACCTGTTCACAGTTCTGTGTTCCCAGGTTGCTAGCCAAAAGCCTAACCCATGAGAACCAGCCTTAGCTTCTCTTGGCCCTGTACACACAGGCTCACCTTGCCTGGAGTCATATCCAAAAGCTGTGTTCTCCAGGGAACCCCAAACAATGCTCCTCACTGAAAGCTTCTCCCCGACAGAGCCCTTCCCTGAGATGGCTCTCCAGAATGAGTAGTCTGACCAGCTCTAAGTATTCCACAGCAGGTTAATTTTTAGCCTCTTATCACGAAGTCAGCAGCAAACCCAAGAACCAAGAGAGGACAATGAATAGTCTTGTAGGCTATAGTAACACTTGTGACTGCAGGAGTGAGAGCTCAGGGTGTAGCTCAGCTCCTGACACAACACTGCAGCTCCCTGGTAGAGATATGTTGGGCGTGAAGAGTAGTGGGTGGCACTGTTCCCACTTAGAGGCTCACACATCCTGCTACCAAGCAGAATCAGGCACTCAAGCTCTACAGGGAAGGTGCCAGGCTCCCTCTTGTTTTTTTCCTGTCTCAGGGAGGCCAGGCAAGAGCTAATACTGCCCAGTCAAACTTCCTTAACTGATCTGAGAGTTCGAGAAACAGACAGCCCTGGTCACCAAAAGAAGTGAGGTGTTTGACCTGAGGGGTAGCTTGCAATGTTGCTACCAGTGTGGTCAGCAGAGCACAAGGAGGGCTCTGGTGACAAGCTCTCTCAGCATCTTGGTCACACTCCTCCATGCAACGCCAAGCCAGATCTGTGTCATTACCTGACTGCCCACGTTGGAGGGACAAGTGAAAGTCAGCAAGAGCTCTTATCAGGGCAAAGCCAGCACTTACTGTTAAGGAGGCAAAGACCAAAGGACTGAAGAAGTCACTGCTCCAGGGGGCCAGGCCAGCAGGTCTGCAATAAGCCTTGCTTGAAGAAAGGCACAGAGCACACTGTCCACCTTCAATAATAAGGGGAGCCTACTTGGAAATTCAAGAGTGGTCTTTTCTGATTTCTATCTAGAAAACTGGTTGTGGGCCTCAAAATAACTAGTGGTAACTGGCTAACAGCTAAGTAGATTACTTGATTTACAAGATTATTTTAAGAGTAGAAAAAGTTACAATCATTTATGAGTTAAAATGAGGTGAAACTGTCTTGGGAAGGGGGAAGAGCAAAAGAAGGACAATTTTAAACAAGGGAAGGAGGAGGAAGGGGAAGAGAAGCTTACTCGGACTATGGCCAGGAGGCGAATGTAGTCACTCAGGAGCTCAGCAAGGAGGAAGAAATCGTTGTTGGCCTGTTCCTGGTGGATCTGCTCAATTTTTTCTTCTACCTCAGCCAGTTGGGAGAGTGCCCGTGACAAAGCTGTGTTGTCCTCAGAGCTCCCAAGCATGGCTAGACTCTTGGCAAACTGGGCTGTGTTCAGCGCAAGCTCTAGAAGGAGGAAAAGATAGATTTCCTCTGATCTCAAGGAAAAGGGACAAGTCACTTGGCCTTGCATGGCATGTCTTGGCAGTACTGTTACCTGCATATCCGATAACCAGGAGGCTGCAACCCAGTCACTTAAGGTCCAGTTTACCAAATTCAAAGAGAAGGGAAAGTAGCCTAAGCTGGTCACAGAAGCAGGTGGAAAAAGTACTTGTGCTACAGTCCACTAGGTCAGGCCTATCTGAAGGAAGCTGTTCTAATATTCCTGGAGAACCAAGTGCCAGTTCTTGTAATCAGACCAAAGGAATGGCTTACCAGATCTATCCCACGGGCCACTTCACAGTTTGCTAGTCCCTATACTGGCCCCACGCTAATGGTCTTTTCTAATTATTGGTATGTTTAAGGCACAGACAGAAAGCATTCAAACTTGAAAAACTTCATGAGCTCCTAGTGAAGCAAAGCTCACTAAAAGGGGAAGAAGGGAGACACATGGTTTCCCTACATTTCACCTTGCTAGTATGAACATGCAATGAAAGAACGATTTTGGATGGAGGCTACCAACTCAAATCACTGCAACAGATGCAATGTGTACCCAGAAGGACTCCCTCTACCCACTGCTCACAGTGGTTAAGTCACATTTCTTGCTAGAAGATCAGGGAATATCTTTTTAATCAGAACATCAAGGAACAGGTAGGCTGAGAATTTCAGCTTGGATGGCTGAGGGCTGGAAACAGCATGCCCTCTCATCTCCAGCTCACTGGAGAGAACAGGTCCCCCAGGTCCAAGTGCATTTCAGAGTGGTTACCTTTCCTATGGGTGACTAGAGTTTCTACCACGGTGTGCAGTTTCCGTAAGCGCTGCTCCTCACACTCTACCTCCTGGAGCTTTTCCTCAAACCACTGAAACACACAAACCCAGAGTTTGAACAGAAAGTGTTCCAATAGGAATGGGGTGCAGTCTTTCTTTAACAGTTTTTTTTTGTGTGCGTTTTAAAGGACTGAATTTTTTTCTTAATTAAAAAAAAATCTCTACTCTCAGAATTTTCAGGACTTGCTAGGCATCTGAGGAGCATGGGGCTACTCACAATGTCTGATTCATTCATCTTGATGGTCATTTTGCTGACTGCATCTGTAGCTTTGTTGAACATCTTTAGGAGACCAGCACCACTCAATGCCTGCGTACCCACGGCGCGTGGCAGCTACAAGACCAAGAAGGCGGGGATGGCAAGTTATCTGCTGCCCCTATTTTAGGTTCAGAAGAATTAGTATCCATCAGATGGCATGTCCAAAACTTGCCAAATTATTTGAACTGCAGATTGTTGTATTCTAAGGCAGTTACATTAATTTAAAACTAATATGTGCAGATACAAAAAAATCAAAATATCATGGTAGAAAAGATCGATGAAATTTTCAGCTTTTGATAGTATATCATAGAAAGAAATTAGACTGGGAGTGTCATGTGGTCAGCTGACCTCACATTGAGAATATATGACTACACAGACAGGTAAGAACTAGTAAGCATTACTCTGGGCTATTGTTTTTAAACATTTTAAACATTACCCGTGTATACATCCATGTGTCATGGCACATATATATCTGGAGGTCAGAGGACAACTTTGTGGAGCTGGTTCACCACTCTTACATGAGTGTTAGGGATAGAAATCAGGTCATCAGGTTTGCACAGCAAGTACTTTGCCCACTTTGCTGGCACATTCCTTTGTTAAAAGCCAAAAGCTCCTTTGGATTAGCATCCTCTGCACAGAAGTGGACTCACAGCCTAGAGTCTGAGGTTGTGCTATGATTCAAGTTCCACCAGTGAACAAATGTCCAAGGATAGAGCATATATGTAGACTGGAGCTACTATTTATTACACAATAAATTTCAGTACTTTTATGCAGTAATTACTCTGAAATAGAGTCAGATTTTGGGGGTTTAGGATGTCATGCAGTAGTTCTTAAGTTGGGGCCATTTTGCCCGAGGGAACATTTTGACAATATCTGGAGATTCTGACAATATCTGGAGATGATTTTGGCTATCAGAGCTGGGAGGGAGTGCTATTGGCATCAAGTGGGCAGAGGTGTTCTGTACTATGCTAGAACGCCTTGCAGTGCACAGGACAGCCCTCTCCCACAAAGAATTATCCAAACCCCACTCTAGGGTTATAAAATGAGGAAGACTAGATTTAGAAATATTTGGAGGTAGAATTAAACGACTTAAAGTTCTGGGGCTAGAGAGATGGCTCAGTGGTTAAGAACACTGACTGTTCTTACAGAAGACCCGGGTTTGAATCCCAGCACCCACATGGTAGCTAACAACTGTCCGCAATTCCGACAGCCTCTTCTGTCTTCTGCAGGCATTGCATGACACAAGTGCACTTACCTACATGCAGGCAATATATGCATACACATAAAAATAATAAATTAAAAAAAAAAGCTCTGGCAGATAATTTTCAATTAAGAAATTTTGGAGGAAAAAAACCAATTCCATATTCTTTTACAAAAAAAATTTTTTTTTTCGGTGTTTTTGAGACAGGGTCTCCCAGTAGCCCCAGCTGGCCTGGAACTCACTACACCAGGTTGGCCTCGAACTCACAGAGATCCATCTGCCTCTGCCTCCCAAGTGCTGGGACTATAGGTGTGCGCCACCACACCTGGCCCTAAAAAATTTTTTATTTATTATTTTATGTGTATGAATGTATTGCTTGCATGCATGTAAGTGCACCCATGTTGTGCAATGCCTGCAGGTCAGAAGAGGGCATTGGATACCCTAGAACTGGAGTTAGGACAGTTGTTAGCCACCTGGGTCCTCTGCAAGAACAGCCAGTGCTCTTAATTGCTGAGGAATCTCTCCAGCCCAATTCCACATTCTTACAGTAAGAATTTCATTACAGTAACATGAAAAATTTAAAAAATTAAAAAACAAAAACAAAACCAAAAATCCATGAGAGTCTTGTGCTGTGACTTTCTTCTAGTTTCCTAAGGTGACATTATTTGTCTCTCGTCTGGTGTTTCTTTTGATCCTTAATGATGTCTGTGTTTGCAGAGCTAATTTATACACTGCTTCATGGTGAACTGGCTATTTTATGCTTTCATGTATTCGTATTTCTTTATACTTGCTGTTTGTGTTTGTTGTATTGATATATTTTATTTAATTCTTTTATTAGTGATTAGACTGCCTCTAATTTTTCACAATCATGAGTAGTCTATGCAGAACCTATAAAACAGTTGTTTTTTACTACATGCAGAGATGCTTTAACAGTGAAAAACACTTTGTCCCCCTAGGGGCTTGAGCTCAACTAGGATATTGTCTGACATTAGCTGTCATGTTCATGTACTTGCTGAATGAACTAGTTTCGTTAGGGGTAGACAGAAATGATGAAATTCTGTTTTATACAATACTAACCTCTTCTTTTTCCAAAAATTCCCTGACATCTGGGTCCTGTAACATGGTAGGATGATTCACAACTCTCTGAAGGTACCTAAAGGGTAAAAATTGTCATCTGGTTAGCTGATGAGGAGCTAGCTGAAGGTTGTGGGTATTGCATAGTGCTAGCAGGGGTGTTATTTTATTTTATTTTTTACTACTTAAAATGTCCTCAGATAAGATACTTAAGCAAGCCTTTGCTTTAAATACATTTAAGGTCATGTTCTTTACATTTCCAAAGTGGCAAACTGACTGGTCAGAAAGAGACTTCAGAACCATTCATATTACATTGTCTAAGAAGGAAAATATGATTGGTCCATTGGTTGGAGAGAGAAGATGGCCTGTGACTAAGGTGGGAGAGTAAGAGACTTAGGAGAAGTGAGACACAGCAGGGAGGTATGGCTCTAACTCACTTCAGTTTCACCCCCACTGATAAGCCTCCTAACTGTCAGTTCTGGCTTCTTGTTCTCAAGTCATTCAGGAAGATGCTTGTTAGGTACTCACCTTTCCAGAGCAGCCCTTCGTTTTTCAAGAAATTCAGCAGAAGAAGAATCTTCCTTCCCAACTTTCACTTTTGTCATTCCTAGAAGCAAAATAAACAGGAATAGTGAAAAGGACAAATCTATTTTTTAAAAAAAGTCACCTGGAGGGAAACTCAGCAAGGCGAGCTCTATAAAATGTGATCTTGGGCCATCTGTGTATCATGAGCAGCACGAACAAAAGCTTCTTTGAATGAGTCTTTATTTTCTTAACTGGTCTCTAAGTGCTAGAGATTGTAAATACTGGGATTTAGGTACATTTGCTTTTTTTTTTTTTTTTTGGTCTTTTGGAGACAGGGTCTCCTTGTAGCCCCAGCTGTCCTGGAACTCACTATGTAGACCAGGCTGGCCTCGAACTCACAAAGATCTGCCTGTCTCTGTCTCCCAAGTGCTGGATTAAAGGCGTGCACCACCACGCCTGGCGGTACATTTGCTTTTTAAAAAATAAAACTCATGAGCTTCTGAGCATAGACTAACAATCACTTGATGGCAGTAAGGCTCTTTCCTTAATCCTCAAAGCAATTTCAATTTGGAAGGAAAAGCAATCGTTAAGACTCCTGGGGCTGAGAGCTCTGTGGTAAAGTGTTGACCTAATATGAGGCCTCTGATTTAATCACTAGCAACACACACACACACACACACACAGAATGATAATTTCTCTTTGCCAGGTGTGGTGGGGCATGTCTGTAATCTTAGCACTCAGGAGTCTGAGGCAGAAGGATCATGAGATGGAGGCTACCCTGGGCTATACATTGAATTTGAGGCCAGCCTGGGAGATAGTGGGACTTCTCAAAAGAAAACAACTACAACAAAGCACTAAAAACTAGAGACTAAAACCAATCCCAGGCCCCCCGCCCCAGCCCAGTGGCATTCAAGGAAAGAGAACATGTGAAAATAATCTGGTTAGATCTCTAGACCCCAAGTGTTAAAAAAGAAAATACTAGACATGTCTCTTTTCTAACCACAAGATTCAACAATTGCAGAAGTATTCTCATACACTGAGCTATATTACCTGAAAGAATACTAGGGAAAAACTCCAGCAAATTCAAGCCCACAGACTTACCTATTAGGCTCTTCTCGGGTGGAGGAGGGACAATGAAGCCATTCTGAGAGTGCTTCTCTGAGAGCTTCTCATAAAGACCCAGAAAGTCACTAAATCTTCTTTTCACTGCAAACTGTTTACTTCGGAACATTGGTAAGCTTGTCTTGGGGGTGGAAAAAACACAAGGCGATTTCATTCCAAGTCCTGGTTGAGTGAGTATCTTGCAAGCTATCCTGCTGACATCAAAGGAAACAGATTTCCCAGACTGCTGCCCTTTGGCCACTTGGCAAATAACTTTTTCCAAGATAAAGGATTTTAAACTTTGTACTATAGTCTCCTTTGGCAGTCTGGAAATCTAAGAAGCCCTACTCAGAAGATTTCAAATGCATAAAATAAAATAAATAGGATCATGGAACTGGGGAGATGGCTCAGTGGGTAAGAGCATTTGCCCTGCAAACATGAGGACCCGAGTTTGAATCCCCAGCACCCATGTAAAAAGCTGGGCATGGCTGTGTATGCCTGTAATCCCAGCACTGGGGGTGGAGACAGGGAGATTCTGAATGCTTATGAGGCAGCTCAGCCCAAAAAAGGTGAGCTTTGGGTTCAGCGAGAGACCCTGCCTCATGGCAATAAGGTGGAGAGCAATAGAGGAAGACACCTACACCTGACTGCCTGTTCTGGCCTTAGCACCTGCATACTCATGTGCATGTACCACATACACTTACACCACACACATGCCACAAAAATATACAAACATACCAAGTGTGTGTGTATGTGTGTATGTATGGTTAGAAAGGCAACCAATTAAATTTAAATATACTTTCATTCCTAGGTTAAGAACACTTGCTCTAAGTAAACAAATATTGAATTCTAGTTTAAAGATAGAATTCTGCCAGGTATGGTGGCACATGCCTGTAGTCCCAGCACTTGGGAGGCAGAGGCAGGCGGATCTCTGTGAATTCATGGCCAGCCTGGTCTATAGTGAGTTCCAGGACAGCTGGGGCTACAGGGAGACCCAAAATAACAGCAAACAAAACAAAAAACAAAGATAGAATTCTATGTAACCAATTTATCCTTTATTGAATTATCTTAGGGTATTAGCTAATTGAATTAAAGGAGATAAAAAAGATTACTAAAGAGTGCTTCTAAGACCTTGAGGCAGGAATCAGATGAAATGTCTATAGACAACAACACAAGTGCTGTGGGTTCTAGAGCTCACAGGAGGCCAGCCAATAGTAGGAGAAATACATAGAAGTCTTCTAGGAAAACAAGAAAAAAAGTGTTGGGCCTGTGCCAGGAGACGTAACTCTATATCCACCAGATTGGAAGAAGATGGCCTTGTCAGTTACTGGCACAGAAATGAGTCAGTGAGAACTTTTCTATCAATTTTTGTATAAATTGGCATAAAAATGTTAAAAAAAAATTTCACATTTCTTGTAGTCAATATTTGCAGTACCTATGACCCAAGAGAACTTCTCCTAGGTATCTACCCTAGAGAAACACTCCACAGGTATACTAGAGACCTGCAGGAAAGTACGTACACAGTGTAATTATGAAAAGTGGCCTCGGTTTAGGAAAAGAGAAGTGTATTATACTGTATTCATAAAGTGGACTATTGTTACTTCCAATAAGGATGGTCTGAGAAATGATGGTATACTATTTTCAGTATTTATTTTTAAGAAACTCAAAACAACATACTTTATTTCTTACAGATATACAATATAAAGCCTTTTTGAAGGAAGTGAGATCACTCAAGAGAATGGCTGCCTCCGAGGCATGAAGCAGTGGACACGACAGGGATAAACAGGAAGGTGGAATCTATGGAGCCAATGGTATTCATCTTAAAATTAAAACTGGTGGTAGGTTCAGGGCTTCATTTATTAGCTGGTAAAATTATATTTAGAAAAAAAAAACCAGTCTTCAGGGGCAAAAGTTACAGAATGTATTAAAAGAAAGCAAGATGTAGTAGCAAATGACTGGGAGACTATGGTAGGAAGGTCATGAGTTCAAAGAGTCTGGAAACCCTACCCCCCATATACACACAAGCTTTGTGCCAGGTGTGGTGGTGTACACCTATAATCCCAGCACTCAAAAGGCTGAGGCAAATAGATTTAAGAGTTTGATGCCACCCTGGGATACTCGGAGATCCTGTCTCCAACAGCACTGCACCCCCTCCTAAAACACCCCCAGTTCTAAGGCTTCATATACACAGTTTTTGTTTCTTTGAGATAGTGTCTCATTATGCAACCCAGGTTGGTCTTATACCCATGATCCTTCTACTTCTTCCTGTCTCCCTAATGCTGGGATTACAGATGATGTAGGCCACTGTGCCCAGCCCTAGAATCGAGAATTTTTTTCTTTTGGTCTTTTTGAGACAGGGTCTCCCTGTAGCCCCAGCTGGCCTGAAACTCCCTATGTAGACCAGGCTAGCCTTGAACTCATAGAGATCCTCCTGCCTCTGCCTCTGGCGTGCTGGGACTAAGGGCATGTATTACCATGCCCGGCCCAGAACTTTTAAACTTTTTTTGGTCAAAAAGACCGGGGTGGGGGGGGGAGCGGAGATACCCAGAAAAAATTCTCCATTATTTTTCATTTGAGGCAATCCACTAAACTAGCTCCAGGCATAATTCCTAAGAGGGATGGGGTAAAAATCAGATATGCTTGCCAACTTTCACACTAAAATGTTAGCATCCTGGAAGAATATTGGGAAGGCTCAGTCTGGTCTACCTTGATAAGATTACCAAGGCAATGTAGGCTTGTTACATATTGAGTAAATATGAAAAAAATGTTGGAAAAAAACTAAAAGATACCCAGAAAAATGCCGGGTGTGGTGGCGCACGCCTTTAATCCCAGCACTGGGAAGGCAGAGGCAGGCGGATCTCTGAGTTCAAGGCCAGCCTGGTCTACATAGTGAGTTTCAGGCCATCTGGGGGCTACAGGGAGACCCTGTCTCAAAAAGACCAAAAAAAAAAAAAAAAAAAAACAAACCAGAAAAAAATCTCAGTGGTGACCTTCTTGTTATGAGCAGTTGGGTCTACTGAGGTGGTCCTCAGCAGAAGCACTGGAACTCACCTGTGTTGTGACTTTGTAGGCTACATAGGCATTCATACCATCCCCTGTGGGAGAACAAGAGAGGATTATTCTCTTAACAAAAGGAATGCTAATCCAAAACCATTTAACCAGGGATCATAAGCTACAGGAGTCCTATATTAAAGGGCTTGCTTCATCTCTAAGCCTTATGTGCAATCCTAAACTCCAGTTCTTACTGTGCCTTGGGGCCTGTGTGGTACATATGCCCCCACAGATGCTGGCTGGGCCCCAGTTTGAGTTAGACAAGAGAGTCAGTCCCCTGTTCCAAAGCCAGGCTCCATTTATACCCTCCACAAAGAGGCACTGGATACTGACAATTCATCAGTTGTTACCATGCCAATATTTGGGCTGGTTACACACATCTGTCCAAAATCAAACAATTCTCTTGCTGTATAAAGCAGGAGGAGAAGGAAGCAACTGATGTTAAAGGAAACAAGTAGTTCTACCCTAGGCTAGCTCTGGGCTTGGTTTGCTCTTTCAGAAATACCACTATGGCCCCCACCACTGGTGCTAGCAAACACTGACCTCTCTGATCCAGCATGTTCACCCAGAGCAAAGGGCCTGGCAGGAAGACACTTGGGCTGCCTGATGTCACAAAAATCTCCCTTTCCTGGAGGAATTATTTTTATGAAAAAGCCTTTGACTATTAAATAATCTGGGATTCAAGCAACTTTTCTTTTTCCCTGGTAGTGTCCTAACCTAAACCACTCAGGGAGATAAAGACACCATTGACTCCCTAGGCACTGAAAAGACATACATTGGAATCCAGACAGAAACAGCTCCAGTGCTGAACCTTGGAGTTTGGAGTTGGTTTTGTTCCCTTGCTTCTGACTCCTCCCCACTTCAAACAGGAAAGCCTAGGTCAACAATTACTAGTTGCTTAAGCTCCTGAACTCATTCTGGTATAAGTAGCCAAGGGAAGAAGGGCCTGTACTGGATCAACAGGATCAATATTGCAACTTGGTTTCAATGAGATGGCTAGAAATGCTTGCTTTTATTTATAAGTACACAAAGAAGATGGAAACCATACCCCTACCAAAAGAGGCTTTGGGTAAAACAGAAATTATAAATTAAGCTGTAGAGATTACAGTATATGGATTACCTTCTTCTAAACTACTTATACTACACTGCCTAATACTAAGACTGTTTATCACTGATTTCAAAATATATAAATGTACAGTAATATTCAAAATTCCACCCATTATAGAATAGTCATGTTCAATTCCATAATTTAATATCCACAATTAAGAAAGGTTCAAGTGCAAATATACATAAAATGTAGTAGCAAGGTAGGACCCCCAGAGGCTCTGCAGGCTCTTTAGATACTGCTTTAAGGCAATGTTCGAAGAGATATACTTGGTTAACATATAGAGTGTAGAAGCCCTTAAAATGGCCTACTCATACAATAGACTGAAAAATACATGTAAATTTCCTAATTAATTTCAGTTGAAAATGCCATGTGCAAATCACCAAGGCTCCAAAAAGAGTATCTTGTTAAATGTACGACTCTACTTTATTCAGATGTGTTGGAATGAGAAGTGCATGTTGAATAAACAGCCCCCACAAACAACGTGCTATTATAAAGATCAGGCCCTAAACAGGAAAATGGTTTAATTGGCTAGTTTCTTGGCATCAACATGACTAAGTATCCAGATAATGTAGAACAAGGGAATGAAAGCTTAGCACTTAGAGCAATTTGTGTTTAAATAAATCTGATTCATGAGCTGTTTAAATTACTTTCCACTATGGCATCAGGTATGTCTTCTCTAGATATTCTGAAAGCCCTAACTCTCAGTACTTTGTAATGTGACTTTACTTGGAAATTTGGACTTCAGAACTGTGAGAAAACAGGTGTCTGTTTTGTTTTGTTTGGAGACAGGATCTTATTCTGAAGCCCAATCTGGCTTCAAACTCATGGCAATTCTCCTGCTTCAGCATCCCATGTACTGGTTTTACAGGTATAAACCACCTCATTTAGCTTATTTCTATTATTTTAAGCCACTGAGTTTGTAGTACTTTGTATCAGGAGCCTAATCTTACTGATACATTCCTTCTCTTGGTTTAAAATCATGACAGTAAGTGTTCAAACCTTAGTACCATTTATAATTTATATTATTTCCCTAAGGATTTAAGCAACTAAGCAGCTAATAACTGGCTAAAAATTAAGGTGTTATGGAGCTGGAGAGATAGCAGAAGACCTGAGTTTGGTTTCCAACACCCACTTGGTGGCTCACAACTACCTGAAACTCTAGTTGGAGGGGGTCTGACACCTTCTTCTGACTTCCTTGGGTTCCTGTAGGCATGTGGTACACATAAACTTATGAGGTCACATACATAAACACATTAAAAAAAAAACAAAAAAACTTTACGCCAGGAGTGGTGGTATACACCTTTAATCCCAGCACTTGGGAGGCAGAGTCAGGCAGATCTCTGTTGGTTCAAGATGAGTCTGGTATACAAAATGAGTTCTAGGCCAGCAAGGGTTACACAGCAAGACTGTCTCAAAAAAACAAAACAAATCTTAAAAAAAAAAACCAAAAAACAAACTTAAATATATTTAAAAAAAAATAGAATATTCTGAGAGATTCCTAGATTTGTAACCCAAAGTTCTGGTTCTGATTTTATTTCTTTTTAATATTTTATTATTTTTATTTTATGTGTATGAGTGTATTGGTTGCAGCACCCATGTTGTGTACTGCTGTGGAGGTCAGAAGGGGGCATCAGAGCCCCTGGAACTGGAGTTAGGATGGTTGTTAGCTGCTGTGTGGGTGCTGGGAATTGAACCAAGATCCTCTGTAAGAGCAACCAGTGCTCCTAACTGCTGAGCTATCTCTCCAGTCCCCTGGTCCTGGTTTTATACTGTACCATACTGCACCCCAACAGAAAAGCTACTTCATTTTTGGACCTCAGTTTCCTCTACCAACAGGTGAGAGAACTGAAGATGCTCATAAATATCCTATTACTATAGTAGTTCATAAAAAGTAAGTATCAATTTAATGGCAACTATTTAGGCATAAAGTTGAATTAGACTTTACAAATTCTTGTTCCTACTGTCCTTTTATTTTAAAACCTTTTTATTTTATGTATATGATTGTTTCACCTGCATGTATGTAAGTGTACTCTGTGTGCTATGCCCATGGAGGCCAGAAGGCGTTGGATCCCCTAGGACTGGAGTTAATGACAGTTAGTTGTTCATTGCCATGTAGGTGCTAGGAACTGAATCTGGGTGGGTCCTCTGCAAGAGCACCCAGTGCTCTTACCAGCACTGACCCATCTCTCCAGCCCTACTTTTGTCCAGTTAACCAAAAATTACAACCCCTGTTTAGTAGGATAAAGCTCTGTATAGCCTTTAGCCCCAGCTGGCCTGGAACTCACTATGTAGACCAGGCTGGCCTTGAACTCATAGAGATCCACCTGCCTCTGCCTCCTGAGTGCTAAAGGCATGCACCACCACACCCAGCTTATATAGCTTTTTCTTGAACTATACCCAAACAAGGAAAGTTAAGGCCTATTGTTTCTGCTTACAAGTTACCCCCACAGACTTGGGAACTAGAGAAGATTATCCTAAAAATCCAAGTCTGAGTCAGATATGGTAGTAAAGACCTATAATCCTAGCATTCTGAGGATGAGGCAGGATTGCTATGAGTTTAATGCCAGTCAGGTAAACATATTGAGTTCCACGTGAATTGGGGCTACAGAGAGTCCCTGTCTTAAAAAACAAAAAACAAACAAAAATGATCTTTCTTATTTCATTTTTTTTTTTTTTTGGTCTTTTTGAGACAGAGTCCTCCTGTAGCTCCACCCCTGTAGCCCCTGTAACTTGCTAATGTAGACCAGGTTAGCCTCGAGTTCAGAGATCGGCCTGCCTCTACCTCCAGTGCTGGGACTAAAGACGTGTATGCCACCACATCCTGCTCTTTTGCTGACCACAATTCATCTTGGATTCTTTTCTTTTTTAATATTTAATTTTTTATTGAATTTTTATGTATTTCATATAGAAAATCATTTTTATACCCCCTTTTCCCTTACCTTTTGGCACCCTCCCATAGTGTATCACTGGAGTTCATAAATTCTGTCCTTTAAGACCTATTATGTAAAGCTAGTGTCCCCAGATGTCCCTCAGTGAAAGTTCATTCATTGGGTTTAGTCAGCCTATCTAGAGTTTCTCCCTTCAAGAATGTCAGCTCTTCCTCACCCAGTAGCAATCAGGTGCCAATAATTCTTTCACCTTGGATTCTTTTGTCTTTCATCTATGAATAAGAGACTCCCCAACTTATTAGGATATCAATACAGGAAAAATTATATGTAACAAGTTCCAAATTTCTTGAAATGTAAGTTTCATACCCAAAAATTTTATTTATTTTTAAGTTTTTGGTCTTTTTGTTTTTGGAATATCCAAAAAATTTAGAACATATAGTTTTAGGGTGCTTACTCAAAAGGGAACAAAACTGTCTCAACAACTCTGAGAAAGGCAGTATTTGAATTTTTAATTTTTTTGGTCTCTTTGAGACAGGGTCTCCCTATAGCCCCAGCTGGCCTGGAGCTCACTATGTAGACTAGGCTGGCCTTGAACTCACAGAGATCTGCCTGCATCTACCTCCTGAGTGCTAGGACTAAAGGCCTGCACCACCATGCCTGGTAGTATTTGAATGTTTTATCAAATCTTTAAAACATTTTTTTTAAATTTATTTTTATTTTATGTGTTTAAGTGTTTTGCCTGCATGTATGTAAGCACACCCATGCATGCAATGCCTGTGGAGCCCAGAAGTGGGGGCTGGATCCTCTGAAACTGGAGTTATGGATGGAACTGCCATGTGGGTGTGGGGAATCCAACCTGGGTCCTCTAGAAGAGAAGCCAGTGTGCTTAACCACAAATCCCCTGGAGCTAGGGTTGTGAGCTGCCCAACATGGATGCTAGAAACCAAATCAGGTCCTCTGTAAGAGAAATCTCTCCAGGCCCTATTTTAACTTACTTTTTAAAAAATTGTGTGTGTCACCTACCACCCACTCCAAGCCTCAAGGACTTTTTCCGGAAAGAATGTAAGAGCCAGAGGAAGGGGTGGAATGTTAACTGGAAATGTCCTCTGACCACTATGCCGGCAAGTTATAGTCACACCTCCTTCCCATGCTCATCAAGGAGTTGGGGGGGGGGCTCCCCCTCCCACCTAATCAGTCAACCTTAGCAGCATGTGGGGGAAGGGGCAAAGGATATATAAGCCGAGAACACCAAGAGGCACCTCTCTGACCACTTTGCGCAGCTGTTGGGAGGTCACAGGATTTGTATTTGAGTGTGGAGCGCCCACTCTTCTGTAAATAAACCCCTACCCTATGCTGTGTTTAAAAAAATATATATATATATATTAAAAGTGTGTGTGTGTGTGTGTGTGTGAGGGAGGGAGGGAGGGAGGGAGGGAGAGAGAGAGAGAGAGAGAGAGAGAGAGAGAGAGAGAGAGAGAGCATATGTTGAGATACATATGGAGATGAGAGAGGAGATCTTGGAGGGTAGAGAGAGAGAGAGAGAGAGAGAGAGATCATGTTATGATACACATGTAGAGGTCAGAGGACACCTTGCAGGTTGGGTTCTCTCCATCTACCATGTGAGTTCTGAGGCTCAAACTCAGGTCTTCATTGGGATTGGCAGCAACTACCCTTATCCCCTAAGCCATCTCTTGAGGTTTTTTTGTTTTGTTTTGTTTTTTTGAGACAGGGTCTCCCTGTAGCTCCAGCTGTCCTGGAACTCACTATGTAGACCAGACTGGCCTTGAACTCACAGAGATCCGCCTGCCTCTGCCTCCCAAGTGCCAGGATTAAAGGCATGTGCCACCACGCCCGGCTCTCATTTGAGTTTTTAAAGAGCAACTCTAATTATATTTCATGTCTCTTATTTTTTTTCCTGCTGTCCTTGGCCTTGGAAGTATGGTTACAGGGAAGACACTGATGAAGTACTTCCGATTTGCTGGTTCAGCTCTGGTGATAGCCATTCCCAAACTAACTGGCCATGGCCCCATCGTAGTACCACAAGGAGTGCCAAGGACACTTACCTATCTTCTCGGGATCGGTAATACCTACTGTCAAATCAAACTGGTCTTCCTGCTCTTCTTCCTCTAGCTTTTTAAAGAAAAATCAAGAGAGTTGATATGAGATGGCAATCAGGGCTACACATTTTACCCTATATTAACTACATATCAACATAATAAAGTCAAAAATATAACTTTCTACACATCAGTATTCAGCTCAGTCCATTCCCAGTAATTCCAATGAACCAACTTCCATGATTTTTTTGTCTTTTTGAAGCAGGGTCTCCCTGTAGCCCCAGCTGTCCTGGAACTCACTATATAGACCAGGCTGGCCTTGAACTCACAGAGATCCGCCTGCCTCTGCCTCCCAAGTGCTGGGACTACAGGCGTGCGCCACCATGCCCGGCTTCAACTTTTGTAATTTTAAGTTGTGAACCAGATCATAGATCTTCTTTACATCTATTCCCTTAAAATCTTCTTTTGATGATGTGAATAATGACAGGCCTTTGGAAGACTTGGCCTCTATATTCCTGAATATGGGAGCCTCAGACACTAAATAGCCTCAGTAGACCCTGAAAGCCTTTTGTGCTGTCCTCCAGGGATTAGATACTCCATATAAGAAAGAATTCTTTATTGGATTCTGGCTATGCATTAACCATAAAGGTCTCCTTCAGGAGCTGTAAATATTTTCTCAAGGTTCAAACCCAACTGAACTTCAGACTGGCAGCATAGAGCTAAAACTTCAAAAACAAGAAAACCAGAGCACAGATGCTCACCTCCTCACTGCTGGGCTGGGGCTTAGAAGAATTTGTGGCTTCTTGGGGAGGATGAGAAATAAGTGTTTTGGCCTGCATTGTCTTCTGATTATTTTGTGTGCTGTCCAGGGATAGTTCCACTGTGGCATCTGAAAGCAGGTGATATTTTTAAGTGAATGTCAAAAGTGAGCTTCTGAGGGCTGAACATTAGTTTCACTGGCCGAGGCTCACAAGATCAATGGCAGCCACTCAACACTAGAGGCTTGAAGACACAAAAAATATAAGCTGTGTGATTCTACATGAATCAAAACGCAGGACACTGAGGGGAGTGTTCTGTTAGCACAGGCTCAGGAGAGCAAGCTCTTTTTTCCCTTCCAGACACACTATCTGAGCACTGACTCCTTCTTAGTATTTAGGCAAGAACCAGAGATCAAGCAAAAAGGCTCCACAGCCAACATAAGGGTGCCAATTAATTTCTCTTAGGAGTAGTCCTTTAAAACCTTACATGAAGCTTATTTATTCTTGTTTGTGATTGTTTACACAAGAACAGTACATTTGGTTATCTGCTTTGTAAGTCAATATGACAGAATAGGCAAGCACACATCAGAGGAAGCCTCAGGAAAAAATATAAACTAGAAAAGAATGCATCCATGATGCAAACACAGTAACACTTGAAAAAGGGCAGTTTGCCTCATGTGAAGGCAGCACTATTATTTTAACAGTTAAACTTAACAGTTAAAAAATTCTTAAAGAACCATTTATATATAAATTATAATTGCCAACATTAAACTCTATCTTGTAAATGCCATCAAAATTGGAAAAGGACATGTAATACCTGAAAAATCTTTTTGATCAAATTTTTTTTTTGTCTTTTTGAGACAGGGTCTCCCTGTAGCCCAGCTGTCCTGGAACTCACTGTGTAGACGAGGCTGGCCTTGAACTCACAGAGATCCCCCTGCCTCTGCCTCCCGAGTGTTGGGATTAAAGGTGTGCGCCACCACACCCGGCACTCAAAATGGTTTTTATATTAAAAAAAAAAATTAAGATGTGCCTTTATTTACCTGGAAAAACTCAACTGAACAGAACAACTTGTTCTTCAAGTGTTCTAGAAAGAGGACTTTAAAATAACATTTTGTACCATTTTTAGACATTAAAATTTCTTATGCAAAAAAAGATGCACTTTCAACCTGGAACAAGGATGCTAGAAGTATTAAATTTAACCAGTCCATTTTTTTTCTTTTTAGTAAAGAAAATCATAAATATTAATTTATGGTTTTTTTGTGTTACCATTAAGTATTTCATTTTAGCTTAGGGACTACAAAGAAAACTCCTTCTTTTTCTTTCTAGATTTTCATTTGGAGCTAGAGAGAATCCAGAGATAGGGATAATTAAGTTTTAGATTAATATGTGCTAATCACTGAGTGAGAATCACTTCTGCAAACAAAGCTGCTACATGTTAGAAATACAACTTGATTCCTATCAGGAGAGAGATAAGGTGGTTATATAAACAGACAGACCCTGGTATGGGGCATGAAACAATAAGCATACAGGCCAGCCTGAGCTACCAAACCCTTCATGTCATGAGAGAGAGAGAGAGAGAGAGAGAGAGAGAGAGAGAGAGAGGCTGAGACTCTGTCTCAAAAACCCAACATTGAAAATGTAGTTTGGTGGCAGAGTACTTGGTTAAGCATGCCCAAGGCCCTAGGTAAGAATGAAGGAAGGGAGGGAGGAGGGAGGAGGGAGGGAGGGAGGGAGGGAGGAAGGGAGGAAGGGAGGAAGGAAGGAAGGAAGGAAGGGAGGAAGGGAGGAAGGAAACCTTTAATCCTAGCACTCAGGAGGCTGAGGCAGGCGGATCTCTGTGAGATCAGCCCAGCCTGGTCTACATAGCAAGTTCTAGGCCAGCTGGGGCTACAGGGAGACCCTGTCTCAAAAAGACCATAAAAGAAAAGAAAAAAAGCCCCCTTGAAAAGCTGAGTATTTTGTCAAAACTTTAAATATGTTTAAGCATTAAAAAAATGTTTTTTGAATTCCTAACAAGAAAGAGGTTGAAAAGTCGTTGGGTTCTGTTGGAGGGACTGATCACCTTTTAAAGAGAGAGAGATCAGCACTAAGTTTATCTTATAGAAAATAGAAAAGAGCTGTGTTAGGGGGCTGGAGAGATGACTCAGTGGTTAGTTGCACTGACTGTACTTGCAGAGGACCCAGGTTTGATTCACAGCACCTAACAACTGTCCGTAATTCCAGTTCCAGGGGATCTGACAGCCTCTTCTGTATTCTGAGGGCATTGCATGACATGGGTGCACTTACGTACATGCAAGCAATACATGCATACACATAAAATAAAAATAATAATATTAAAAAAAAAAAGAAAATAGAACTTTGGAAAACATCTAAGAAGTACTCAAGTCCTAAGCTAGATGTCTCATTGCAGACACTCCTTTCCAGAGCAACTGTGCACTCCTTTCTTAATGTCGAGGCATCTGGTAGGGGATGAAATAAGTCAGAATGACTATTGTTGGCAAGATCTCAGAAAGTCCAGCCACAGGATGATGGTTACATTAAGATTCCAGGCTGTGTAAGGAGAGATCACATAAATGTTATGTCTCAAATATTGGAAATTTATCTTCTCCTCAGCCTACTATATAACTAAAAAGAAATCATTATTTGCATGCTATCATAAAAAATAAAGTTTTAAGGATCAAAGGAAGTGAAAGATCTGCCATCCTTCTTCGACCTCCTCATCCCTTGTTCTTGATGCCTCCTGCTAGAGTTCTCGTGGCGTCCTCTCCAGATGTGTCCTCCTTGGTCAGTCTCTCCTTCCTCACCATTCTCCTCACTCACATGGCAGTTTTCCTTACCACCTCTAGCAACAGGATTCACACATCTATAGTTCTTCCTTTCCCTTGTTGGTTTTTAGAGAAAGAGTAGCCCAGGTTGGCCTGAAGCTTGTGAAAATCCTCCTGCCTCAGCCTTCTGAGTACTGGGATTACAGGTGTGAGTCACAATGCTGGATACACGATTCTCTTTCCCCAGGTAGTCTACCATAGTCCAAACCACCTGGGGATTTCTGCGCATATTCAAATTTAAAATGTCAAAAATCCAAAGTAACCTACCTTCCTTCCCCTTCTTAACATGGTTCTAAAGGTTGGGCATAGTGGCCCGTGCTTGTAATTTCACTACTTGGTAGGCAGAGACATGGGAACTGTCACAAAATTGAGGCTAACCTAATCTATATAGCAAGTTCCAGGCCAGTCAAGGCTACATTGCAAGACCTTGTCTCAAAAAAAAAAAAAAACCCAAAAAACCAAAAACCAAACCAAAACAAAACAAAAAACACACACACAGAAACTAATTAAAGCCAGAAGTGCCCATGTGTGATTGTAACCCTAGTTATTTGAGAAGCTGAGGCAAGAGGACTGTGAGTTCAAGGCCAGGTTACACAGTGAGAGCCCATTTCAATTAAAAGTCTAAAGCTAGTTCTATAGTCAGTAATATCACACTTCTGTGAGCTCCTGTGATTTAGTATTTCTGTAATTCCGCTGAACACATTTATTATTTAATAATTTAACTGTGTTCTTAACAATTAATTGGATTTCGGTGGGGGGGTTAGTTTTTACTTTTTTTTTTTGGAAACAAGGTCTCATTTAGCCCAGGATGGCCTTGAACTTGCTAGGTAGCCGAGGATAACCTTACACTCTTGCCTCCACTTCCCAAGTGCTAGGATTATAGGTGCATACCACTGTGCTTGACTATTTTTGATGTGTGTGTGTGTGTGTGTGTGTGTGTGTGTGTGTGTGTATTTTTACTTTAACTTGCAACTTAATGAAGTCATATACAAGGTGCCTAAGTTCTGAGTCTCTACTTGCCTGCAAAGAGGTCCTGAGGCTCTTGATCTTGTTCCTCATGGATCCCGTTTTCTTTGGAGCCATTTTTGATCAGAAAAAGGGATGTAGTTTTCTTTGGAGACTGAGGCTTACTCTGAAAACAAAGAGATACTCTGAATAAAGCAGGAGCATTCAAAACATGCTCAGCCTGCATAAAAAGTAACTGGATGCATTCCTCTGTTGTTTCCAAGGGTATTCCTGGGAAGACAGGCTCACAACTTACCCAGCCCAATAAGTAGCGAATCATTGATAGTGTTGCAAGCACTGCTGATCATGTGACCACAGAGCTAAGGTGAGTTTACAAATTTTAGGGTTAATTTTTATAACCATAGTCCTGATGAAAAGCGATACTTGAAACCATATGATACCAACACAAGTATGTGTACATACAGATAATTAAAAAAAATCCGTCCGCTGGGTGTGGTGGTGCACGCCTTTGATCCCACCACTTGGGAGGCAGAGGCAGGCGGATCTCTGTGAGTTCAAGGCCAGCCTGGTCTACACAGTGAGCTCCAGGCCAGCTGAGGGCTACAAGGAGACCCTATCTCAAAAAAAGACCCAAAACAAAAACAAAAGCAAAAACAAAACGTCCAAAAGCATGTCTGTTTCTTAGTGGATGACCTTTATTATTTCAAATGCAGATGGGGGCACATTCTAATGACCAGGATCCCACACTGGAACCCTAAATTCAAGTTCTGACTCTGGCTTCTTTTGTAGTATAAACTGTTAACAGAGGCCTAGCTATATAGACATTATCAACCTACCTGACAGGCCCAGGAAGATCCAACACTTTATATCTAATGCTGTTTATAAATATAACCCATTTTTTCATCCTTAACTCACATGGACAAAATTTTCAACCACACCCCATGGCAGGCTGGAAATAAAAACCAGTCCTCCTTAGCTTAGGAGGCACACAGTGAAAATAAGTCAGTCCATGGCCTCTATTAAAAGCTTAGTGATCAGCCACAAACAAGGAAAGGGAGGAGCCCCAGACCGGTACCAGAGTGAACAAAGCTGGATTGTGCAGCTATGAACAGAAGGCTGGGAATCTGGCTTCAAAGCCAGCTTGTGGTATTGCAGAGTTTTGAAGTCAGACCCTAAGGCCAAATCAGTTAAAAGACCTGACTTAAGGAACCTTTTATGAAACATTTCCTTAACAAATTGGAGGGAGTTTGTTTCCTAGAGACAGACCTTTTCTGACCCAAAAGAACAGAGTGAAATGACAGATCTTTTGGGATATTCCGAGTTTCTGTTATGCAAACAGCTTCATCAGCACTATTTGATCTGTGTTAGCAAATAATGCCTTTACTGAAACTTTTCTATGTTAGTAAAGTTCAAAGAACACTTAGCTTATGCTTAAACATTATACTAACTCTGTTAGGGACAAGTGGCCTTGTCCTCTAGCTGCTCCTACTGTCTTAAAGTACAAAATACAATCACTGCAGAGACTGACAAAAGAAAAGCAAAACTAGCACTTCCTGCCTCAAACAGTATAGATCATCTTCCTGACAGCTTCCTTCCTTCACTCTCACTCAGTATAAGCTCCAAAGAAGTCACCTGACTTCTTTTAAGTTTTGTTACTTGTGTGTATGTCTGGGTGAGTGTATGCCATTTGTGTGTAGGTGCCCTTGGGGGCCAGAAGAGGCTGTTGGATCCCAAGGAACTGGAGTTGCTGCTGGGAACTGAACTTGGTTCCTCTGGAAGAGCAGCAAGCACTCTTGACCTCTAAGCCATATTTCCAGCCTCCCATCCCCACCCCCCAGTATTTCACCTAACTTACTGCTCACCGATAGATACAAGCCATCTTCAGATGGAAAACCAGGAGATTTATGAGGCAACATTAGAACATCATTTGTCTTTCCTCTGCTAATCAAGCCACAGATCCAGATGAATAAGATACTTAGAGGCAACCAGAAAACTACCACCTGTCTCTCTTCCTCCATCCTTCATCTTCAAACTCAAAGTTTGAAGATGTGGAATAGGTAACAGCCACCGTGAGACAGAAGGCTGCTCTTGGATACCCTCTGGGAATCCGGCCCCAGATCATAACAGTTGAGAGCTAAGAGGACTGAAGACAGTTTGCCATTCTCTTACTCTAATTCTTATGTTATTCTTTTTATGAAATTACATATATATTTACATAATATATTCCATGCCCTATTTTTTTCCTTCTCGATCATCTGAGCATTTTCTTCATGCCATTAAGTATTATATAAAAAAAAAATCCATTCATCCTTTGGCCACACAATAAAAATCATTCGCTTAAAGCTGTACATTTAGCTAGTTTTTGTTGTTGTTTGTTTTTTTGAGACAGTAGTACCAGCTAGTCTGGAACTCACTACATAGATTGGGCTGGCCTCAAACTCATAGAGATTTGCCTGCCTTTGCCTCCTGAGTATTGGGATTAAAGGCATGTGCCACCATACTCGACAAAAAATTTTATTTATTTTTATTTTATGTGTGTGTTGTCTGCATGTATGTAGGTATCCATGTCATGTGATGCCCATGGAGGCCAGAAGAAAGTGTCATCAGATTCTCTGGAACTAGAGTTACAGATGGTTGTTAGCTGCCATTACCATGTGGGTGCTGGGAACCAAACCTGGGTCCTCTGTAAGAACAGCCAATGCTTAACCACTGAGCCATCTCTCCAGCCCCATTTAGCTAATTTTTAGTCTTCCTCAAATAATACCATGATGTCCATCTTATATAATTCCACATTTGATTTGGGGGGATGATAGACTCAAGCAGAATTATTAGACATAAAATTCTTAAAGCCTCTACAAAACTGTCTTCCAAAAAGACAAAAAAAAATTGGTGAATTTACATATCTCTTCAGCAGTGTTAAGAGTGGTGAGTGATGTATTTACAGCAACATTAAACAATCTTTTTATTTATTTATTTATTTATTTTTTATTTATTTATTTATTTAATGTGTATGAGGTTTTAAATTTTCTTATTTTATGTGTATGAATCATGGCGTTTGGAGCTATGTGCCATGTGTGGGCTGAGGAGGGTGCAAATGGTAAAATCTCATATGCTTTGGGCAGACGTCTGAGGGTTCCTCTTTCCTAAAGAAAATTCTAATATTGCCCTGTCGTTCACCTAGCCAGTGCCAGATTGCTTAACCCATAGTTGGCGTTAACTGTAAGTCTGGCCAAATCTAGACTCACCTAGGAGGATGGACCTCTGGGCATTCTTATAGGAGCTTATCTTGATTACATTAATGAAGAGGGAAGAGCTGCCCACTGTGTGTGGCACCATTCCCTGACTGGAGAGAGAAAAGTACGCAGCAGACATGCATTTATTGTTCTCTGTTCCTGATTTTGGCTGGGATGTGACCAGCTCCCTCAAGCCCCTCTAACACTGTGCTAGACTGTGACCTGGATATCTATCTATCTATCTATCATCTATCTATCTTCTATCATCTATCTATCTAAAATCAGTGTTAAATAGCAACAAAAACTGAGCAAAGCCACCTTTTTTTTGGGGGGGGTGTCTTGCTTTGTAGCCCAGTTTGATCTCAAACTCATAATCTTCCTGCCTCGTCTCTTACGTGCTAGGATTATAGATGTGTGCCACCACAACCAGCAAGAACCATTTTTAAAGAAAAGAAAAAGATACATGTTCATGATGTCTCCATGGTTAGCGGGGGAGGGGTAGGAGGCAGACAAGGCTTCCATGAGACTAGTCTCTAATAGCTTGCCATCAAAATATATACCCTACCAGGGCATCACAGCAACACATTTCATATGCTGTGTCAAGGGTTAAAAGCTAACTTAAGATTTATTGATTTTATTTTAAATTATGTGTGTTTGTAGGTTTGTGAGTTAGTATATGCATGTGAGTGTAGGTGCCTGTGGAGTCCAGAAGCATCAGATCCCTTGGAGCTGGACTTTACAGGAGGCTGTGAGCCATGACATGGGTGCCGGAAACCAAACTCTGGTCTTCTGAAATATCAGCACATGCTCTTGCTGAGTCATCCCCCACCCCAAAGCTATCTTTTAATTTGTATTAATTTTTTTTAAAGTTAGAAATCTAGTTTTGGGGGCTGGAGAGATGACTCAGCAGCTAAGAACCCTGGTTGTTCTTACAGAAGACCCGGGTTTGTATCCAGCACCCACATGGCAGCTAACTGCCTGTAACTCCAGTTCCAGGGGATCCGACAGCCTCTTCTGACCTCTGTGGGCATTGCATGACATGGGTGCATTTACCTACATGCAGGCAATACACACATACACATTAAATAAATTAAAAAAAAATAGAAATCTAGTTTTGGACCAACAATTAAAATTTCAGAATGAGCTTATTTTGAGAGAAGGAAGAGGCATACTAATTACACTGAATGGCAAAAATCAATACTAATGCTTTGTGATCCATATTTTTAAGACTTCTTAGCCAGGCATGATGGTGCATGCCTGTAATCCCAGCACTCAGAAGGCTAAGGCAGGAGGATAGAGGTTCAATACCAGTCTCAATACTTAGTAAAATCTTGTCTCAAAAACAAAAACTAAACCTCCAGATCCTTGGTCAATAAGTCACAACTACCCGTTTGCTTGAAAGAGGAACTATTTCTAGACAACAGATGAAAATAGTAGGTTCATGATGTAAATAAAGTCAACCAACTGCTGTCCTTGTTACCCCTTCCCTTTTTGATTTGAAAGCAATACTGTTTTTTGTCTTAGAAGAGAGAATTCCCAGCTATCATAGCCAACTTTTCTTACTCTCTTTGGCTGTTAATTCTAGCAGGTGGTTACACTGATAAGCCTGCTTGAAATCTTCTGCTATAATAAGAACATACAGACAGGCCAAAGCTAATTTGTAGATAGGTCCTGGAAAGATCATGCAGGAAGAGGGCACTTTTGTTAAGAGCAAATAGGTATTTCTTAACAATTAATAGATTCAAACTATTAGGCACAGGCCATTAACATGATTTTCTTAGCTCAGAGAAAGTCAGATGTAGGCTTTCAGAGCTGACACAGCCAGTCTGTACTAAAAAAGTACTGCTGTGATTCCTGGCAACTTCCCCTGAGGTTAACCCAATAATTAACTCTTGTTGCTTAATTGCTACTTGCTCCACACAGAACCTATGCA